ATGAAAGTCTTAACTCCAACCTGCAATCCAAACAACTTGATATACACATCCGCTTTTGGAAGGGTAGTCAGATGTCCAGCGGGAATATATATAACGGCGTAATATGCGACTAACACAGTCTATATACTGGAAGATTTTACGCCACTAACCCAGTCGGTAATTTAATTATAATAAATTAAAATATAATTAATTTATATTAATGGCGTAAAATGTTACATATATATATATATCACCGACTGGAAGAAATTACGCCGTTAGTTACTGGCGTAAAATCTTCCATATAAAACTACCGACTGGAAGAAATTACGCCGTTAGTTACTGGCGTAAAATCTTCCATATAAACACAACCGACTGGAAGAAATTACGCCGTTAGTTACTGGCGTAAAACCTTCCATATAAAACTACCGATTGGAAGAAATTACGCCGTTAGTTACTGGCGTAAAATCTTCCATATAAAACTATCGGCTGGAAGAAATTACGCCGTTAGTTACTGGCGTAAAATCTTCCATATAAACACAACCGACTGGAATAAATTACGCCGTTAGTTACTGGCGTAAAATCTTCCATATAAGCACTACCGACTGGAAGAAATTACGCCGTTAGTTACTGGCGTAAAATCTTCCATATAAACACTACCGACTGCAAGAAATTACGCCGTTAGTTACTGGCGTAAAATCTTCCATATAAGACAACCGACTGGAATAAATTACGCCGTTAGTTACTGGCGTAAAATCTTCCATATAAGATAACCGACTGGAATAAATTACGCCGTTAGTTACTGGCGTAAAATCTTCCATATAAGATAACCGACTGGAATAAATTACGCCGTTAGTTACTGGCGTAAAATCTTACATATAAGACAGCCGACTGGAAGAAATTACGCCGTTAGTTACTGGCGTAAAATCGTACATATAAACACAACCGACTGGAAGAAATTACGCCGTTAGTTACTGGCGTAAAATCGTACATATAAACATAACAGACTGGAAGAAATTACGCCGTTAGTTACTGGCGTAAAATCGCACATATAAACACAACCGACTGGAAGAAATTACGCCGTTAGTTACTGGCGTAAAATCGTACATATAAACACAACCGACTGGAAGAAATTACGCCGTTAGTTACTGGCGTAAAATCGTACATATAAACACAACCGACTGGAACAAAATTACGCCGTTAGTTACTGGCGTAAAATCGTACATATAAGACAACCGACTGGAAGAAATTACGCCGTTAGTTACTGGCGTAAAATCGTACATATAAACAAAACCGACTGGAAGAAATTACGCCGTTAGTTACTGGCGTTAAATCGTACATATAAGACAACCGACTGGAGGAAATTACGCCGTTAGTTACTGGCGTAAAATCGTACATATAAACACAACTGACTGGAAGAAATTACGCCTTTAGTTACTGGCGTAAAATCGTAGAGTAATCATTGATTAATGATGGTTAATTAACTAGTGATAGAGATATCGAATTTCCTTTATAATCTAGTGCGTGGCCTAGCGTCTCATCTTTTGTCAGATCCGGAGACGAGGCGTAATCTCTTATTCCTTCACGTTCTTTTCTCCAAACTCTTTCGTTCCTAATGGCACTCTCCGCAGGCGCACGTCCAAAACGCCACTCCAAGAAGGTGTCTGATCCAGACTTCGTGTACGATTTTCCAACGGACTCGCTGTTTCATGACGCTCTCATTCTGGAGCAGAGCAATCCCGTTGACCCCGTTCTCTTCGAACAGTCTACCAAGTCAGAAGCTAGATCGTCTAAATCAAAAACCAGACCAGTTACAGTACCTGGAGCTTCTTCACCGCCATTCGTTCCTGACGCCGATACCAATCCTTCTCTCTCATTCGACCAGCAGCTTCAGTTGATCAAACTACAAAAGGAAAAGTTGGAGCTGGAGGTGAAAGTACTTGCCATGAGCCGCCAGGAACGCCCTCTCGAAAATTCGTTCGCAGATCTCTCCACGCAAGACGCCAGAGATGCTATTGCGCCAGGACGCACCAAGCGCAACATTGACTGGCCACAGGATTTTGTTCCGTCCATTCAAGGTGAATATGTTAAGTTAGAACTGCCCGAGTTTGTTTCGGGTTTCTTGATTATGATCAAAACCTATGATTCTTCGCTAAAGGATGCCATGTTAGCTCATCTCGAGTTACTACTCACTAAAGCAATTAGTTATTCGTGGATTAGCGTTCGTGGTTTTCATAAATTTATCGCCAAACAGGTCAAACAGCGTCGTTTGGAATGGCAGGATTTTTTCAGATTTACGACATACACGACAGCGAATTGACAACCCGCGTCAACCCTCTAACAACGCATCCTCGGGTGATCGTCAACAGGCGGTTCCACCCATAGTTAAAAAAACTTGCAAAACCTGGAATTACACTGGCTCTTGTGATTGCGATCCGCAAGATGAAGTTAATTACAAAGAACATCACCGCTGTCGAGTGTGCAAGGCGGATCACCCGATGCTTCATTGCTCAAAACGTCGCACACCAATCCCACCCCAATGACAACTAGGCCGAGTAATTCCAGACGAAATTTCCTCAGCAACCTCTTTGACCCGGAACGGAAACGGACATGAACATTTTAAAAATTCAGCAGTTGTTCGACATTTAATTGCTTCTTGTCTCCAGCAGCCAAATGCCTTCGGTGCCAAGGTTTTGGTTCCTACTTCGCTCTTGCTTTCGAACTGGAGAACACTGCTTTCCAATTATCATGATAACATTGTGATCGATTTTCTTTCGTACGGTTGGCCTGTTAATTATACAGCACACACTCCTCCTGTTTCATCATTGCATAATCATCCATCTGCTACGAACTTTGATTCGCATGTGCAAACCTATCCTGACACTGAATTATCTTGGAATGCTATAGCCGGACCCTTCGATCATCCTCCATTTGCAGACGATTTCGTATCCTCGCCTCTTCAAACAGTGCCCAAACGTGGTACCTTGACGCGGCGCGTGGTTATGGACTTGAGTTTCCCTCACGGCTCCTCAGTCAACGATGGCATTTCTCAAGACACCTACCTGGGCGAGCATTTTAAGCTACGTTTGCCTGGCATTGATCGCGTCGTTGAATTCATTCTCGAGAAAGGTCGTAACTGTCTCATTTTCAAGAAGGACTTGCGTCGGGCTTATCGACAGTTTCCTGTAGACCCCAAGGACTATAATTTACTGGGCTTTTGTTATAAGGGTAAATTTTATTTTGACACTCGTTGTCCTTTCGGTTTGCGTTCGTCAGCTATGATTTGCCAACGCACGACAAAGGCAGTCGTCCATATCTTCACTGAGCAGGGGTTTTTCGCAGACGTTTATCTTGACGATTTTTACGGCGCGGAATATCCATCTCTTGCAGTCCAGGCCTTTTCCTGTCTCAGTCAGCTATTCCAACATCTCGGCTTAGATTCTTCTCCTGAGAAGGACTCGCCTCCTTCAACGTCCATGATTTGTCTCGGTCTTCTTGTTGACACTGCAGCGTTCACCCTCGAGGTTCCTCCTTCACGTCTTGACGATTTACAGGCCGAACTCAAACTTTGGCAATCCTCTACCTGTTTTACTAAGAAACAACTTCAGTCCCTCCTAGGGAAGCTCTCTTTTGTCACCGCTTGCGTTAAGCCCGGTAGAATCTTCATGGCTCGACTCCTAAATAGTCTTCGCGAGTGCACGCAGCCAGCCCGTCACCGATACCCCATTTCTGCTTCTATGCTCTCAGATATTTAGTGGTGGCTCGATTTTCTTCCCCGGTTTAATCGTGTATCGCTCATCAAGCTTTCCTCCTGGGACTTTGAGAGCCTTAACTTCTCGACTGACGCCTGCCTTTCTGGAGGCGGCGCTACTTGTCAAACGGAGTGCATTAGCTTTGTTTTTCCTGATTGTATTTCTCCTGACAATCTTCATATCAACGCGCTGGAACTTTTCATGATCATTGTTTCACTCAAGCACTGAGCTCCTCAGTTACGCGGACGCAAATTCATCATTACCTGTGATAACTCCGCTGCGGTGACCGTTATCAATTCTACAAGATCCAAGGATCCTTTCATGCAGCGCTGTCTGCGACAACTTTGGTTCACCGCTGCTCTTTTCGATTTTGAAGTTCGAGCATAACACGTTCCTGGAAAACACAATCAATTCACGGACTGTCTCAGCCGTTGGCATTCAGATGCTTCAGCTCGCGATACTTATTATCATCTGTGTAGTGACTTTGATCAGATTTTTCATTATCAAGATATTGACTCTGCTTGTTTTTCTTTCGACGTTGCGTGACAATATTTTCTTTTTTCTTTTGTAGACTTCAACAGGGGATCAGGTTCACATTTCCCTCCAGCTGTTTCGCTTGTCACCTTGGAGTCTTTTGTGTCGCGTCTTATCACAATGGCTCACGCCACGTCAACACAGAAAAATATTGCAGTTCATATCCGTAGTTACCAGATTTTTTGTGAACAGAGGGCTCTCCAGTCCTTTCCAATTAGTGTTAAATCTATAAGTTTGTATATCGCCTATTTAGTCATGCAAAAACGCGCTTCTGGTACTATTCTTAATAGATCCTTCCACGGTTTTAGCGGCCATATTGGTTGGGGGTCAAACAAAACCTCGTTGCTAGGCAACGAGTCCTAGAATCTCTTATGATAATAAGACGCGCATCGCTACCCTCGTTAAATTTTCGCTTTGTTCAGGAACAAGAATCAATATCCATCGCTAAAAAAGATAAGACATTGATAAAGGTGAGTGACCTTTTTTTCTCTAGGCGAAAAACCTTTTATTCTCTGCGTTTTATGGGAACACTGGGATCGTTTTCTTAGAACGTGACCTTGCGGCTGACATAATGCCAGAAGGTCACAGTACTGCTTTTTCGAAAGACTTTTTGCAACTTAATTGGGCAGAGGAAAAATTGAAATAAATATGTTTACGTGCCCTTAAAACTTTTTCGTCCAGACAGGCTAACATACTATTGAAAAACAATTAACTCGGCAAAGAGAAACCCTTAGCTAAATGGGTTTTGGAGATAAGTGTTGTGTCGGCGGCTGTAACAACGACAGAAGATATCCGAAAAAATGGGTCATCCACTCGCATGTAGAGAAGTTATCATTCCACAAGCCCAAGCAATCGTTGATTGAAGCATGGTCTCGACAGGTTCAGAAGGGAAGAAAAGATTTCTCAATAGGAAAGTCAAGAGAGAGTGTTGTCATCTGCTCTAATCATTTTCGAGACGGGAAGCCTTCTGTAAGCAACCCTATACCTACTCTTTTTTTGACTCCTTTTGAGCATTCAAATAGTAAGTCACCCAAAAAGCGGCGTCGATTAGAGTATCAAAAGGAGACTGCAACGTCAGCAGTAACTAAATCAGTTGTACATGCTGGCCCTTCAGAGGTGACACCGGTTGATAATAGTGGTATACCTGCAAGTGATGAATTGATGAAAAGTGGAGACGATTCCTCGGGGTTAACACTGTGTACAGCCTGTGCACAAATAACTAGAGATGCTGATGTTCGACTCTATACTGGCATGCAAAATACAGATGCTTTCAGAACCTTATTTGAATATTTACTCCCTAAAGCTAAGAATATGAATTACTGGAAAGGTGATAAGCAAACTGAGGCAGAGAAGCCCAAAAGGTACTCTGATATGACCATGGATGAGTCCCCAAATGTCAGGAAACCTGGCCCCCAAAGGAAACTAAAACTTGAGCAGGAACTTTTACTGATAATGATGAGGCTTCGCTTAGCTTTGTCTGTTGGGGATCTGGCATTCCGATTTGCAATATCAGACACTCTTGTCAGTTCAATTTTTATCTCCTGGGTAAAGCTAATGAAATGTGAGCTCTCATGGCTTATCAAGTGGCCCTCTAAGGAGCAGACGAAGAAAGTGCTACCAAAGTGCTTCGAAAAATACTACTCTAAAGTTCGGTGCATTATTGACTGTTCAGAAGTATTCATCGAAACACCATCAAGCTTAGAGCTACAGGCTATTTGTTGGTCAGACTATAAACACCATTGCACTTTTAAGTTTTTGATTGGAATAACTCCAAATGGATTAATTTCTTTTGTGTCTGATTGCTATGGGGGTAGAGCATCAGACAAATTTATTGTCATGGACAGTAGGTTCATGAACCACCTTGAGCCATTTGACCAAGTTATGGCAGACAGAGGCTTTAAGATTCGTGATGACTTGGCCATGTATCAGGCTACCTTGGCCATTCCCCCAAGTACTGTGGGCAACTTCCAAATGCCATCACAAGATGTGTTAGAAACATCAAGGTTGGCAAATGTGCGCATTTATGTAGAGCAGGCAATAGGTAGGGTCAAACACTTCAAGATTTTAAGTCATATAATGCCAATGAGCTGCCTTCCTTTGTGTGATGACATCCTCATTACATGTTGTAGCCTATGCAATCTTCTTCCCCCCCTATGTGAGTAATAAATATTTTAAAGAGAACCAAAAATACTAGTGCCTGTATTCTTCCTAGACAGTCTTGCAGTGATATGTAAAGTTGAAAACTGTTATGCTCATTCACTGCATGTAAAGTAAGCAGAGAGCTGTTCAGTCGCTAAGAAATATCCACCATAACTTTTAGATGCCTTTATAATTTAAAAAAATTCAACAAAAAGGACTAGAGCTATAGTACTGATATCTGTCTTACATATTTAATGACACTGATTGATTTATTCGATTAAGTAAAGCTGTTTGCAAGAGGAGCATAGCCAGTGAAGTTCTTCTGGTTCAATAGTAAGGTCTTCACATTCCCAGTGATACCACAGTGCACACTGATCACAGCATACACTATTTTCACCATCCTTCTCAATTTCATCAGGTTCCAAGCACAGGCATTCACATTTTGGACAGTAAAAGATACCTACCAAGCCCAGCAAAACCTTAACAACATAGCCTTTGTAAAAGAAAATTAAATTCTGCTCAACTGTTTGATAAAAAACCTCATCTCGCTGAACTTCTTCCACTAAAGGGTCACCTACTTGTGTCCACACAACAAAATACCCCTTAAAGCAATTTGATAGGACAATTTCCCCTTGTAATTGGGTGTAGTACTTATGTCCTTTGTTCAGACATACTTTACCACTATCCATCTGTAAAAATTCAGTTCGATTCCAGGCATCAAGAACCCTTTCACCTTTAATGCTGTATGGACATTTGCATTCAACAACAAATGTTCCACAGCAATCACAGGTGCCAATAGCATCAGGACTTGCCCCAATGTAAGGGAGATCCCTTTTTACAAATAAGCCAGCCTCAAAAATCTGCATGTTGGTATGCTTAGGTCCCTCTGTTGTTACAAAAGCATCTAATGCCTCCTTCTCATGTGCTCGCCCCCATTGCACAGCTGGAACATTTTTTAGGGACTGGTGATGAACAATCCTGGCAATAAGGGGTTTGGTCTTGACCACCTTTTTGCGTCCAGCTAAAAGTGTTTTCACTTTGGTATGAACCTCATGAAATTTTGAGGCAGTTATCCTTCCTTTCCTCTGCTCCACCCATTCTGTACATTGGCTTTGAGCCCTAGTGGCCTTTTCAATTGAATCACACTGATTCTGGCTCAAGTGAAGTGACTCAAGAAACCCTGTCACAATGGTTACTTCCCCTTCCCCCTTATGTTCTGAGGCAAATTTCTCTGCAACTTGGTTCAGTGGAAGAGGTAAGTCTTGTGCATCATGACTTTCTTCTTCCACTTCGACAGCCTTAAAAATCACTGACTTATCAGTAATTTTTTTCCATTTTGCAAGAAATCTATTTTTGCTTTCTTCAGTGGCAGCTCGTTCACACTCTCTGCGAGGATCAAAAGTTTTCTTTAAATCTGAGTTGATTTCCCTCCTTTCTTGGTTTGTGTTGTTGTGTGAATCAGTTCTTATTTTTAAGTCTCTGATTTTCTTAGGCTCAACTTCTCTAAAGGTGCGATCATTCCATCTGCATGGTACAGATGTACATGAAGGATTAGTGAAGCCCATAGAAACTGCATGCTCCACTTTGTACAAAAGTGCCATAACATGATTGCAACTTTGGGAGTAGCCTGCTTTACAGCTACACCATGCAGACAGGACACCCCCCTGATTTGTATCAATGGCTACCCACACCTCCCGTGGCTCATCTCTGACTCGTTGGGATGGTGTAACTTTGCACTTTAAAATACACTCTCCGGTAGAAACAAATGTGTGTGAATACACCGTACCCACGAATCCACTGACAAAGTAGGAATAAGCTTTACAAAGCTTGTACTTCCCTACATAATCCGAGTCAAATTCTTTCTTTGACAAAATAAAAGAGAACACTTTCCCAAGGTCTAAAGCTGGCCATGTTGTCATATCGTTTCTCCATTCATCCTCTGCAATATGCCTGGGGTCTCTAGGAAGACTCTTAATTCGTTGTTGGTACTCGACTGTGAGTCTCGACCTCAACTCCTCGTCGGATACCACAACCCGAACATTACGTTCACAAGCAGAAAAGGCTCTGGCGACAAGCTCTCTTTTTTTACCAGTTACACTTAACCCCCTTAAACTTAGGTAATCTTTTAGTTCACCCAAGCTTTTCTGGAGGAAATTTTCGTAAAGATCTTCTGGATTTACACTAGAGGGCTCTTTCGGAACACGCGTAGCCATGGTTGGAAATAAAAACAACTATTGAGCTTGAAAACACCTAAAGTACAAAAACCAAAACCAAAATTTTAAGTACGTTGTAATGCTACCACCGTAAAGCCTAAAATTTAAAGCTACACAATATCTATGGCTAAAAAATATATTCTAATTTCTCAACCGAAAGAGGTGCTTTTTAAAATGCGATTTTCGCATCATAGCGGCCGCGAAGTCAACTTCGAACAACATATCAATCTGCCCATAAAACGCAGAGATAAAACGGTATTTCGCCAAGAAATTCGGCACTTACTCTCAGTAACGCCTTATCTTTGTTCCCGCTAGATTTGGAGACGAAAATAAGCAATTTTCCTTCAATAAAGTTAAGATATTGAGCGAAGGTACCGAAGCATGTCTAATAATTACAAAAGAATCTATCGCTCGTTGCCTAGCAACGAGGTTTTGTTTGACCCCCAAACAATATGGCCGCTATAAACCGTGGAAGGATCTATCATCTTAGCAGCCTCAAACATGCTCATCAAATTGCCGGATACGAGCTCACCTGGAGTTCTAATTATCATTTTCAACTTTTGCTGAGGGGCACTAAACGTTTCTTAGGCCAGGCTGTCGCTCGAAAATATGCTATTACGCCTTCTATTTTGCACGCCGCATTTGACCATTTCAATCTCTCACTTCCGCTGCACGCAGCTATGTGGGCTTTGTTTCTAGTTGCATTTTTTACTTTTTTACGCAAATCCAATTTAGTACCAGACAACCCGCAGCGAATTTCTCCTAAGGTCATCACTAGGGCAAGTTTGGCTTTTACACCTGTGGGCGCTAACATCCATGTCTCCGCTACCAAGACCATTCAGTGTCAGCAACGTTCTCTAGATTTGCCCATCCCCAGGGTCCCTGGGTCTCGTCTTTGCCCCATTTTCGCTCTTCGTCGCCATTTATCCCTAAATCCCGGGCCAGTTTCGGCTCCCCTTTTTTCAGTTATATCAGGGTCTGGTCTACAGCCAATTACTTACAAGCAATTTTGCGCCTTTCTTTCTCGGGTTATTTCTAATCTACAATTAGATCCCTCTAAATTTTCTCCTCATAGTTTTCGACGGGGCGGGGCTACTTTTGCCTTTGACTGTCATATTCCCTCGGAAATCATCAAATTGCAGGGCGATTGGCAAAGCGACGCATATCTCGTGTATCTAGAATTATCTCAGCAGCAGAAACAGCGCGCGGGTCAAGCTATGGCGGACAAGCTTCAGACTATGTTTCCAGAATAATGATTTATTAATAGATTTCCATTATTTTTTTTTTCATTTATAACCTTTTCGTATTCTCCTCAATCACCTCACTCTCCTTTTTTCTACACTCCAGTTTGGGCACTTTGGCGTTCTTATTTATTGTCCAGTATTTTGTCAGGCAGTTCTCGCACTGTGCAATAAACTCATTTTGCCCAAACTGTTGTGTCGTCTTGGTAACGCGGGTGATTGAGTAATCATTGATTAATGATGGTTAATTAACTAGTGATAGAGATATCGAATTTCCTTTATAATCTAGTGCGTGGCCTAGCGTCTCATCTTTTGTCAGATCCGGAGACGAGGCGTAATCTCTTCCCACCACTCCCACCCTTAAACAATGTATTTTTTATTAGCTTTTTCTTCTTAGTTGCGTTCTTGTTTATTGTCCAGTATTTTGTCAGGCAGTTCTCGCACTGTGCAATAAACTCATTTTGCCCAAACTGTTGTGTCGTCTTGGTAACGCGGGTGATTCATATAAACACAACCGACTGGAAGAAATTACGCCGTTAGTTACTGGCGTAAATCTTCCATATTACTGGCGTAAAATCTTCCATTTAAGACAACCGACTGGAAGAAATTACGCCGTTTGCGGCTGGCGTGAAAAATTACTTAGCGGGAAGGTATATTCATTTTTTTTCTATGTTTTAGCGAGGCCACCTTAGTAAGAGGTGCGACAAATTTTTAATTAAGCTTGACAAGGGACAAGGTATGGACAGCTTCTACGGGTATTTCGTTTGTTACAACTTTCTTACTGTAGAGTCGTAGATGTGCTTCTACCATAAACTTTAAAAAAATGATTACAGTTTACTTTGAATTCGAATGCCTTGTATTGCTTTTTGTGTGTGCGTGTGTGTGCGTGTGTTAGGATGTGTTATCGTTCCAGTTCGCATTTTCAAGACCAGTCATTACCCACGTTATCCCCTGCTATTTGGATTTAGGCAGAATGCATTATGACACATTTCACATTCAAAAAACTCTTTATTTCGAAATTTTTAGATTTCGGACAGTGCCGTGGAAGTGGTAGTGAACAGCACCCACGTCACTGATAATAAACCACCAACCACAAGATAGAGGAATGCGAAACGCAACAATGGCTATCAAACCGCGTTTCCGGAGTTTCTTGAGGTGCTAAAAAAGGTCTTGTGCACTTCAGTCGTTCCTCTTTGTATCTCACAGTTCTGAGAGTATTCTCAACGTGAGCTTTTCTGCTGGAAAACATTACTCGCTTCGTATTTTGAGCAATACAGCATCTTTGTTCGGCAAGTTTGCAGACAAACGGATTTCACTTTTTTTGTGCCCTTTCAATATTGTGAAGGACCGCTTCAACTACTATCCAGAACGTAGTTTCCGTCGAAATATCTTGGATACCAGCTACTGGTAAGTGTATCTCATTGAGTGTCTCCTTTTAACTTCAGAGTAGCGCCATTTAGTTACGAGTCCTTGAAAAATAATAGCAACTATTCTTAGATGACTACCTCTTCCAAGCACCCCAATATACAAACGAAATGGTGAGGTTTTCTGAATTTTGCCCCGCTCCAAAAATCAAAAAAAATTTACATGCACATCGTTCTCTTCCCAAACGTTACTTCCGATGGTTTCCACTGTGAGGGGAACATTATTTTCCCATATGCAAAAAAAGAAAAAAAGAACTCTCTTGCTTTTTGGAAAAGTGCCATTGTCAAAGTGATCCGTCGGACTTCGTTATGGGCGGTCGGAAAATTCGCTGTAACTAATTTGACGAATCTGCCATATAAAGGAAACCCAAAAAAACCAATTACCACAAGAAGCGCTCCTCAGAAATCTCTTCCCATGCGAGTAATTCACACGAGAAAGTTTTTTTATTCTATCCAATTTTTTCATTCCGAACTTCATGTGTGTGAACAAAGAGTAATTCAGGTTACTTTTTAAGTCCGCATGCCTGGTTATTTGTAAAGACGCCTGTCATATGGAATGGTATATCAAAAGGCTTTGTTTCCGTCAAAAATTATCAAAATATCGACTTAAGAAGTATGATTTTCTGAATGTCGAGATCTACCGCAAATTTTGCTTTGTTTTTCGAATATACGTTTCGTAAAGAGATCGTCACGTCCTATAAAGAGTAAAGGAAGATGTAAGGCATACGTGTCCGACAAAAGGAAAAGCCGATTAAATATTGCCACTGTCCATTTTCCTACATGCGAAGGGTGTGAAATCGTAAACTGTTAAATATTTTAATAAAGCGCAATTGTCGTAGTGACCCGTTTGACTTTATTAAGTGCATTGATTAAACGCTGTGTGTGCCGCAAAATGTACAAATCTAGAGAAACAATTGCTTAAAACCACTTGAAATAACATCTTAGGCGAGAGGAATTTTCACAAAAAGGATAATTTTTTTCTTGGAAGTACTTGTATATGCACAAATAGTTTTGAGGTTGCTCATTTCTAAAAACCTATGTTATCGGATAGTCTTGCATGTGGAGGGGAGTGGTTTAACAAAGGTCTTTGTTTCTGGTCAATATCACATGATCGCTTTAAAAAGTGTGATGGTGCTAACTTTTACGAATTTGCGTGTTGCGCTCTGTTTGTCGAATTTCGGAAGGGTAACGTCTTATACAAAGACTCAGAGAAGATGTAAGGCATAAGTGCTCGCTAAAATGTTGAATATTGCCACAGTCCATTCTCATGCGTGTGAAGGCTGAGAAATCGTAAACTGTGGGTTTAGATTAACTGACTAGTGACAAAAGGTGATAAAAACTAACTACCAGCAAAAATGGCAACTAACTAACGACTACCGACCAGAAAATTATCATGAAACTAGCAAGCGCCCTTTTTGACTCGCATTTAATTTTTTTTGTGCTTTAGATGACCTTTAGATGACGTTCGGCCAAATGTTGTTTGACATTTGACCGTCAGGATGTGAACTACTCTTAAGTTCACCCTATTGTGACTTTCGGCAAAGTGTGAAACGTCTTTTGTTTGATAAAATTTTTCATTGAACCTGTGTTTACTGTATAAGAAATCTTTAAGGCAGCTCTATTCTCTGCTGCCTTCAGACCTAAGAATGAAGAAGAATAAAATGAAAAACAATATTGAGGAGAATAATGGATGTAAATATAGGAAAATTATGTATGTGTGAAGAAACGGATATAGAATCGGTCCTCGCAGCTATGAACACTACTGCATTAGTATTTGAAAGAAGGCCTGCAAAAAAATTTCAAGCCCCACGGGATTTGAACCCCACAATAACGTGGAGTTTACATGTGCCTGCCATATCAATATATCGAGACAAAGCGCCATTGTCCGTTTGCCTCACTAATGCAGTGTTCAAAAGAACCGAATTTACTTTAGAATTTCAAAGCACGGGAACAGTTATACAGTCATAAAGAAAACGACTCTCCATTGCTAGCTAAAGTGCTATATGTACTGGGTGGAGTTTTAAGTATTCTTTCAGTTACTTAACACTGACAGTTGTTTATTAGATAAGTTGTTCAGGAAGTGTGTACTTCAGTTGTCTTTATATTTTTTTATTTATTTTTTTTTTATTTTTTTTATTTTCACTTAAAGCACAAATACTAGAATAATACAAACAAATACAAAGTTAATTACACTAACGCTTACGCTACTCACTAACACTAATTACGAAATACTGCGTTACATTAAATTCACAGTCGGCTAGATTTAATTTATGTTGTGGTTATATAATAATATAAACCTAATTTGTACAAATACTTCTACATCAAATTCCTTTTTTGGTAGAACGACAGTATATACAACTGCGTCTATAACTGTTAATACCCGATACTCATCTATTGAGTTACAATAACATGTTTTCCCATTTTTTATAATGAATAGATTCTTTTTTATTCTTTTTTGCAATCAAAAATTCAAATTTCCGAGTTTCAGATGTTTTAGCCTTCAGTAAGGATACAGACGGCTTGATATTTTTACAACGACATGAATAAATGGTATATTTTCCAAGAATGATTATGTGATTTAACAAACAATTCCCAGGGATATTATCGGAAATACCAAAGAGGATTGTTACCTCATCAAGCTTATCAATTTTCATATTGTAAGTATTTAACCAAGAAATAACCGAAAGCCAAAAGTTTTTAGTGTAAGTACAGCTGATTAGAAGAT